GAAGCCCCCAGTGGGACCGCCCGCATGCGTCCCCCACACCCAATTTGGCATTGTCACCCACCCACTACAGCGCTCCGTGGCCCCCTAGGGAGCTCCACCGAAGCCTCCAGTGGGACCGCCCGCATGCGCCCCCCACACCAAATCTGGCACTTTCACCGGCCCAGTACGGCGCTTCGTGGCGCCGTAGGGAACCCCACCGAAGCCCCTAGTGGGGCCGCCCGCATGCGTCCCCAACACCCAATTTGGCATTATCACCCGCCTTTTCCCCATTGGGAGCTCCACCGAAGCTGGGACCGCCCGCGTGCGTCCCACACGCTTAATTTGGTATTTGTACCCACCCAGTGCAGCCTTTCGTTGCCGACGGCCTCACTGCTACCGCCCGCATGCGTTCCTCCCCCCCGCCCAGCGCAACGCTTCGTGGCCCATAGGGAGCTTCACCGAAAAAGATATTCACAATCGCGGTACCCACAACTTCATATGGTTGGGTCCTTCGCCAGGATAGTTTTGCTCGTGTGCGCCCCCCCGCTTTCGGCCCGAGAGCGCCCGCTGCACTTGGGAGGGCCTACCTGGGAATTCGCCCCAGAACGGTTCCAAGGTGATTTTCCATGTGGCCCCCACCCCCCCAGTGCAGCAGACGCTCTCGGGAGCAAGTGGGCGAGCGCATCCGAGCGCATATACCAGCCATTTTCCAAATGAAATCTCGTATTGGGGAGCCTTCTCCCTGGGTTGGGCCAGAATCTATGCGGGCCCCAGATGGAAAATGACGCGCTTCAGGTTCCAATAATCGCACCAGAACGGTTCCACGGTGATTCCAGGACTTGGAACGGGTCGATGCCGAGGTCAGGGACAACAATAGTTCGGGGGGTGGTAGGCGTAGGAGGGGGGATGCATCGACCCCCAATCGCCCACTGTTCGCCGATATGGGCCTGATAGCCCCACCCCGCTCAGGAGCGTGTGGATTTGCTATAGGGGGCCTATAGCACAGCCGATCTATCGGCGATGTATGGCCGATTCCAGGTCGATGTTACCCCCTGTGCCAGTCCCCCCTATCGTTGCCCCTCGTAGGGGCTGGGGACAGCGCTCCTGGTGGCGAAAGGTTTATAATTCTTCCTCCTGGTGATTTTCGTCGTCGTCGTCGGTCGTCGTCGTCGGCCGGTTCTGGGCCGCCGATGCATGTGTTATTCTCCGCCCCAAGGAGGCTGTCTTATTCTTGAGCTCGCATTGCTCAGGGGGCCGGTTGAGGCCAGCCGCGACTGCCGGGAGGGCAGTCTGGGCGCAACCCGAAGACTTACCAGTCAGACAGCTTCGCGACGTGGCAAAACACGGCGGGAGGTTCTTGAACACGTTCGGCCTTTGGGAGCCCCCCCCGGGCCCCAGGGCCGTCAACGAAGCAGCTCCAGGGTGAGGGGCCCGCCCGGGTAAGATCGGGCCGGACGAAGGGGGTACGAAATTTGCTGCATGCAGCTGATTTCGGCCTCACCGAGGGGCCCATTCCTCGATACGTAGCCGCCTCCGGCGCCGGGAGGCGCCAGGAAAATCAGCTGCGTGAGCTGATTCTCAACCCCCCCCTTTGCTTCCCCCCCTTTTCGCCCGACCCGATCAGAGTTCCAGACCTTCTGGGGGCTCGCATCGAGAAGCTCGAGGCATCGGATGTCTGGAGAGGGCGCTTGTGGCGAGTGGCCCCTGCGGGGCATGCCCTTCGGAGCCACGGCTGCCTTCCTCGAAAGAGAGAGCCAAGTTAGAGGCACAGGCAAGAGCTTCTGGCGCCGCCCCCAGCGCTCGCCGCGCGCCATGGGGGGGGGCCCAGCGCCGACCCAGAGGGTCCGAGCGGACCTTCGAGAGTCCATGTTTATGCAGATGTGTGTTTTTCTGTTCTGGGGGGGCCCCAGACTGGGTGGTGACCACGCCGTGTGGTGAGTCGGTGGGGACTCGGGGTCACCGCACGGTTTTGGGACTCGAGGCCCTCTCCGAGGACGTCTCGGGCGACAGGGGCCTCCAGGTCCCAAGACCGTGCGGTGACGGACCGTGCGGTGAGGTTTTGGGGGATTTCGAGGTCACCGCACGGTCCGTCACCGCGCCGTTTCGGGACTCCAAACATTCTGACTCTGCTCGTCGCGGGCATCCTCCCCGCCGACGCGGCGCGACGAGACGGGCTCGCTCGCCGGGCGGCGTCGTCGGTCGTCGAGAATTGGCCGAGCCAGGCCTTCCACGAGCTTTTGCAGGCCCCCTCTTGTTTTATCCTTACGTCAGGCGTGTCCCTCTACAGGAGGAATATTCAAAAATAATTATAAATTAGCCTGGCGAAAGACCACACAATATGCAGTTGTGAGTACCGCAATTGTGAATATTTTCTTCGGTGGCGCCCCTTATTGGGCCACGAAACGATGTACTGGGTGGGCGAAACGCAGGGAGCAAGGGCTGTGCTGGGTGGTGGCGGGCGCATGCAGGCGGTACCACTGGGACCTTCCGTGGAGTTCCCCATGGGGCCACGAAGCGATATACTAGGTGGGTGAAACGCAGGGAGCAAGGGCTCTGCTGGGTGGTGGCGGACGCATGCGGGCGGTACAGGGTGGTGGCGGGCGCATGCGGGCGGTTCCAGTGGGACCTTCGGTGGAGCTCCCTATGGGGCCACGAAACGCTGTACTGGGTGGGTGAAACGCATGGAGCAAGGGCTGTGTTGGGTGGTGGCGGACGCATGCGGGCGGTGCCATTGGGACCTTCGTTCGGTGGAGCTCCCTATGGGGCCACGAAGCGCTGTACTGGGTGGATGAAATGCAAGGAGCAGGGGCTGTGCTGGGTGGTGGTGGACGCATGCGGGCAGTGCCGCTGGGATTTTCTGTTGGGCCCACTTTTGGGGCCACGAAACGCTGTACTGGGTGGGTGAAACGCAGGGAGCACAGGCTGTGTTGGGTGGTGGCGGACGCATGCGGGCGGTGCCACTGGACCTTTCGGTGGACCCCAGATGGGCCACGAAACGTTGTATTGGTGGGTTGAAACGCAGGGAGCAAGGGTTGTGTTGGGTGGTGGTGGACGCATGCGGGCGGTCCCACTGGGGGCTTCGGCGGAGCTCCCTATGGGGCCACGAAACGCTGTGCTGGGTGGGTGAAGCGCAGGGAGCAAGGGCTGTATTAGGTGGTGGCGGATGCGGGCGGTGCCACTGGGACCTTCGGTGGAGCTCCCTGTGGGGCCACGAAACGTTGTACTGTGTGGGCGAAACGCAGGGAACAAGGGCTGAGCTGGTTGGTGGCGGACGCATGCGGGCGGTGCCATTGAGACCTTCGGTGGAGCTCCCTATGGGGCCACGAAACGCTGTACTGGGTGGGTGAAACGCAGGGAGCAATGGCTGTGTTGGTTGGTGGCGGACGCATGCGGGCGGTGCCATTGGGACCTTCCGTGGAGCTCCTCATGGGGCCTCGAAGCGTTGTACTGGGTGGGTGAAACGCAGGGAGCAAGGGCTGTGCTGGGTGGTGGCGGACGCATGCGGGCGGTCCCAGTGGGGGTTTCGGTGGAGCCCCCCTATGGGGCCACGAAGCGTTGTGCTGGGTGGGTGAAACGCATGGAAGAAGGAGGAGGGAGGGGAGGAGAGGGAGGAGGAGGAGGAGGAACGCGGGGACCATGTCTTCAAAACGAGGACCCAACACCACAGGATAGTTGGGCAAAGAGTCTGGGGACGTTGTTTTGACTATTTGTTAAGCCTTTTGGAAGTATTCGTTCTCTATCTTTCAGTTGTCGCCCAAAATCCGTATGTAGGGGGACACGCCTGACCTAATTCTATCCTATCTGCCCGATCTGCCTCTCGGAGGAGGGCCAGTCAAGACAGCGGCGGCCGTCCACTGCGTAGCTCGTCCTCGTGGGACCTTTCTGGGGGTTTCTCGCCGCCATGGCCGGAGCCTGCCTCGAAAAACAGGTCAGGGTGGATGGACCCTGGGAGGGTCTGGGGGCCGATTTTGATCGGATTTGGGCCGGGCGGTGGGAATGGTGATGATTAGCGAGGATGAGTTCGTGAATTTCTCATGGAGATGATTTGTGAGTGCACCGCCCTGCTTTTCCCAGGTCCTTTCCGAAGGGCCAGCGTGCTCGCGTACGCCTGTCGCCCATATCTGGGTCGTCCTCTGCGGCGATGACAGCTCGTTCGCTCAAGTTGCCCTACTCCGAGCCTCCCAGGCCGTGATTTCCGCCTCCCTCAACTCCATAACAGACCCATCATTTCCGGGTCTCCCGAATGGGGTCTGAGTAGGTGGGTCGGAGGATCGCGCTGCATCGCCGATGCGGCGTGGTGTGGAGCCCAATTTCTTCCACTCCGACGCCGCCGATGCATCGCCGACGTCGCCGATGCATCGCCCACGCATCGTCGACGCATCGGCGATGCGGCGCGACAAGTTCATGCGGCGTTGGCGCGCCGGCGACGCTGGCGACGGCGTTCAATGTTGACTTCTGAGACGCGGAAGCACCGATGGACGCGGCAACGTCGCTGGACCCGACTGAATTCAGCCTTGAACGATCGGGGCCGCGATCGATTCAAGGTTGAACAATCGACGCGGTTTCAAAAACCTTGGCGCGCGCCGACGCCGCACGAACCTACCGTACCTCATCTGCTCGGACCCCATTCATGAGGCCTCCATCATAGCAAGTGGGTGTGGGTGCCTTGCTGGCCGGCTGCCTCGGCCTTTCCCCGTGGTCATCGGGATTGATGGGGATACGGCTGCCAGGTCACCCGCAGCGGCGCGAGCGGAGGAGGAGGAGGAGGAGGAGGAGGTTTTGCGCTTCGGGGTTTGAACTGTATGGCGTTCATTCTGAAGGTGGCACCGCGAGGTCTCGAGGTTCACCGAAGTTTGATGACCCCGGGTGCCTCGCTAGCCCGCTGTCGCCGCCTTTCCCGCGGGCTGCTGGAATGTTCATGAGGAGAGGTCCGCCGCATGTTGCGCCACCGCTGGATGTTTCCACACGCGTCGGTCCCTCGGCGATTCAAAACCCACCCAAAATGCCCGGTCCGACGCAAGGTGCCCGTCTCGGAGTTCCGCCGGTTCTACGACAGAGGAGACGGAGGGTGAGCGGGTTTGGCAGCAAGGCTCAGAAGCGGAGGAGGAGAGGGAAGGAGACTTGGAGGATAAGCGGCAGCATCGTATAGAAAGTCATGGTGGTGAGAACCAGGCGAGGATGAGGGAAGGAATGCAATACCGAGGTGAATGTTGACATCAGCCCACGCTGACCCGAGCGGTCGATGAAGATCCTTGGTCGGAACGTGATTTGCAGTGGTCGGGGCGCCGAGCATCTTGCAGCGACCCTGCCAGTCCAGTCTGTTCCCTTTCGGTTGTCAGGTAGATGGTCGGGTTCCTGGGACTCCCCGGCCGTCTTGACGTTCCACCTCTCGCGGGTTGGGCAGGATCCATGACATTGCCTGGCTATTTCGAGGACACTGTTTGGATGTATGCGCGTAAAGTGCGTCTGCATACATCGAGGGGCGCATCCATGTGCCAAGACGGTGACCCGTTTGAGATCTCCGTCTTATTCGAGGAAGGGAGCAGCATGAGGGTGGAGGACATTTCTCGGCATTGCAGCAGTCGACCGAGCTACAGGCGTGTGGCCATTTGGTACGCTGTCCAAGGGCGCTCGCAAGTCAGTCAGGAGGGTGGAAGAGGAAGCTGGAGGAGGAGGAGTAGGAGGAGGAGGAGGCGGAGGCGGAGGAGGAGGAGAAGCTGGAGGAGGAGGCGGAGGAGGAGAAGCTGGAGGAGGAGACCTCCTCCCGTGCCCTGCCGCACTCCCCAGCCCCCCGCGCGAGGAGACCTGCCGACCCAGATCTGGCACGGGGCGGTCCGCCGACCCCCCCCCGCCCCTCTCGCCGCCCTGCCCCCATGCCGCAGCGGCCGCCCTGCCAGCGTGCCCACGAGTTTCAAACTTCCGCCTCGAGCCTCGATCCTCGAAGCTCGATCCTCGAACCTCGAACCTCGATCTTCCATCCTCGACCCTCGATCCTAGAACCTCGATCTTGGAGCCTCGATCCTCGCCGCTCGATCCCCAGGCCTCGCTCCTCAACGCTCGCGCCTCGAGCCTCGACCCTCAACTTCCCCGCACCCACGAGCGGCGGGCTCGCGCGAGGGCGGCGATCGAGGAGCAGCAGGAAGGAAGCGCAGCTGGCATGCCGTCGGGGCGCCGAAGAAGGAACCCTTTTCGTTGGGGGAGGGGCTCGGTGCTCCTTGATTGTTTCACAGCTTGTCTCAGGTTTCCTTGTGTTTTCGATGGGGAATCGAAGTTTGACTGATGGAAAAAAGGGACCTCGTTCCTTACTAAGGGTTCCTTCGGTCAACGCCCCGACTGCATGTGGCATGCAGTGGAAGCCCGTGCCAAGAAGCACCCTGCTTGCCTCCAGGGTGCCCCGGGTTTCTCGGGCGTCGACGGTTCCGCTATGGAAAGCCAGGGCGCCCTCGAGGGCGCGTAGTGCTTCGCGCGTCGCGGTTCGGCACCGATTCCTCCTCGTCCTCCTTTTCTCCCCTGGGAGGCGGCGCGAGAGCGCGAAGTTGTTCGTACCTCCGCGCAGCGCGAAGCGCGACGTTGGGGGCCTTGTTGGGAAGGCGAGACGTTCCCACTGCGAGAGCCAGTGCACGTCCCGGGGCCTCAGGGTTGGACTCCCTGTGGACAGTTTCCTGTGGACTGGCCTCCACTGTCGGCAGGCACTGTCAGCAGAGCCTCGCGGCCGTCTCGGAGCGGCGCGCCAGGCCCCTCGAGGGCGGCGCCTCCTGGAGCGCGCACCCCGCGCACCGCGGGGAGGGGTCCCCCCGGTACCGAGCGACGAGGTCCGCGCGGACCGACGAGACACGTCCCGTGGGCGTGCAGCTGCTTCTGCCTCTGGGCGCTCGGTCGGGCACGCCCCCCAGACAAGAGGACTATCGGAAACTGGGACATGTACATGACCAGTGGCGGGCTGTGTTCTCAATCCCACGACTTTTTGAGGCTCGGGGACGACGCTGGGGTGGTGTGGTGTGTACCTGTTTCCCCGATGCCCAGGGGAAACAGCGAAACATGTATACACCAGGCTCCCGTGTACACCGGGATCCGCTCTCCAGCGCGAATGTCAATGCAGGGCTGGAAACAGTCGGTGTATAGAGTTCGATTCCTCATTATCCCAAAAATCATTCCAACCAATATAGCCTGGGGGCGTTGTTTTGGCCATGTCTGGCCACTTCTGAATCTTTGTTTTTGCCTATCTCCGAACGTGTCGTCCAGGTGTGTTTGTAGGAGGACATGCTCGACCCAGCTCTGGCGCGGGCCTTCAGGGTGGAGCGCCGCCAGCGGCCCAGAGTCAGCCGATGTCGAGCGATCGGGGCTGACCGGAAGGCCGCGAGCGCTCGAGGGCGAGCGGTCCGCGCGGTGTCGCAGATTGGCGCCGAGGTCAGCGCGGCGTGAGCTTGCCGTATGCAGGGTGGACAAATCCAGACCTCCAGGCGTCTCGAAAATATCACGACAGCCTCTGTGCGGTTCAGGCATGCGACCACAGGCCGGTCCCAGCATGGGGTGGCGAAGAGAGCTCTGGGGACCCGTGTCGTGAAGGGATCATGACGCCAGAAGTGTGGGAAGGATGGGGGGAAGAGGACATTGGAGGTGTTCTGAGGTTTTCGGCGCTGTCCAAATTTGTTTGGTGTTTTCTCTGATGTGATTCTCAATGATTTCGGCGATCATGGGAGGCATACGGAGGTTTCTGGATGGGGAGGGTCCGTGGACAACATGATCATGGCATTGTAAGGGGATCTTGACGTTTCATCGCGGGCCCGAGCATGATCTGAGAATTCAATTGAAGCGGGTTTGGGTTTACCCCCTTTTCGTTTTATCATTGGTTGCACCATGACAACTATCGTGGTTCTTCCGGGCCTCCGTTGTCCACCATGACGCTCTTGGGCCGTCTTGGGTGCGACGGTCACATCGGGCTCTCCCGAAGCGAAGTTGTACGAGCACCTCGGCCGTCTCGGGTCAGTGTCGAGCCATCTTGGGGCAGCTTTAGGCCCCCCGGGGATTGCTGGGAGCATGACTTGGTGGCATGTGGGAGTTTCTTTCTGCCGCTTGGGTGGAAATGGGCGATGGGATAGCCTTGGAATGTTCACTAGAAACTAGACGGCCCTGTTGTTTTGCAGGGATGATCCTTCGCCACGTTGCGACGTATAAGTTGGAATCCTTCAAATGCAAATGTCAGAGAGCGTCCAAGAAACTCCCAGGACGGCCAATGAAAACCCAGAGGTAGTGCAAATACTATGCTGGATGACCTCAAATCTCTCTTGGATGTCTGAAGAGCTCAAGGGAGCCACAACAGCCCCCACGAATGCCCCCATGGAGCTCTGCAGATGCCCAAGTGCATTCCGAGAAGTTCTCCAGTGGGCAACTGAAGGGCAAAACATGTAAAATCATCCCAGCCTGCCAGCGGACACAGTGTTGCATGAGTTCAGGAATCGATGATCGTGCAAAGTGTTGAGCCTCTGGGCCTCCGGTTTTCAAAGCCAGGACAGCCGTGCCAGCGGCTGTGCTACACATAGGGATCTTCTGTGTTGAAGGCAGGCAACTGTCTAGACAGCCTTGGCTGATGGTGCCGATGGAATTTGCCATTAAGCAGACAAACGCGATATCCTTGAACGACAGCGCCCCTGACCATCGCAGGCGCCCGCGCCACTGCCGCAGACATGCCGCGCCGTGGCAAGGCCGAACAAGCGAGGAAACCCCGACAAGTAGGCGAAGAGTTTGGGAGGGCTGAAGGAGGAAGAGCAACAGAATTAGGAGGATGAGGATCATCCTCATCGTTCTCCTTTGGGGGACCTTTCGGGGGTGGGAGGGGTGCCTACCACCACGATTGGACCAGTCTGGAAATCTTTGTCAGAGCGTTCTCCAGAAGAGGCCTGTGGGTCGATCCGGAGGAAAGAGAAGGAGGACGAGGGAGGAGGAAATGGGAGGAGGGAGGGGGATGGAGGAAAGCAGGGTTGGAGGTGAAGAAAGAGGAGGAAGAGGTGGAGGAGGAGGAGGAGGAGGAGGAGGAGACGGTGGAGTAGCACCAGCAGCAGCTGGAATGTTCTGGTCGGGAGACGGGGCGTGGAGAGCATCGTGATCGGAGCAGGATGCCGTCGTTGTCGTCGTCGGTCGAGAGGTCGAGCGAGGGTCGAGCATCGAGATGTGGGGGCCACTCGGGCCCTCCAGGGGCGATCGGATCCGCCGGGGTCCAGGGGCCCGTGTCCTTCAGGACCCCATTCACCCCTCGCGCCAGTCTCAGAGCGATTCTCTCTGGGGAATGCAGGCGTTCGCGTTTTCCCTCGCCCTGGGCGGGGAGCGTTACCGCACGCGCTGTTTGGAGTTCACTTCTCAGCAGCTTTTTCTGGGAGGCGATGTGGTCAGAAGCTTCTCTCCCACGGCCAAGACCTTGAAACAGGGCCACCATGGTTTGGGGAGGGGCTCAGTGTTGCATAGATCATCTTGTCAGTTTTCTGGGAGTTGTCCTGTCGACTGCTTCACTGTGCGGTGGGTGCGGTCAGAAATCCATTCCTCACGGTCCTAAAAACCTTTGAACAGTGATCGCATTGGTTCTGGAGGGGTCGCGGGGGTCCTTGGTTTCTTCCTGGCGTTTTCCCCCGGGCGCCCTGGTGCATCAGGACACAAATTGAGCCTCGTAATGGTGTCGTTCCTTGTTCCGAGCTCAGTGGCAGGATTGTGTTCGCTTGCCACATGTTTGTCCAATCTTCCTGAGATGCGTTGGGGCCTCGTGGGGCCTCGCTTTGAGTCCGCGGCGCCGCGCTCCACTTCCTCTTTGCTTCGCCTCCTTGTCATCCTCCTCCCCCCTCGCCCTCCCACCTCATAGATTTCGCGCCCCCCCCCCAAGACACTGAAGCGAGGAACACTTCGGGCTCAGGAGGGGCTCTGGCTTCCGGGAGGCCCCGCAGATCCAGGTCGGGGAATCGATCTGTGGCCCCTTTGATCCGTATTGCGAAGGCCTTACAGTCGGGGCCGTAACCTGAGAAACCCCAAAATAAGGAACGAGGCCCCTTTTCCCATCAGCTAAATTTCGATTTCGAATAAGGAAAACCCAAGGCAAACTGCAAAACAATCAAGGAACACCGAGCCCCTCCCCAACGAAAAGGGTTCCTTATTCAGCGCCCCGACTGTACGGGCATGCCGACGACCCTGAAGGGGGACGACAACGGCGGCGGCGACGACGACGTTGTTGACTTGGGCCACAGGGATGCTTCTCGGGGTCTCCTCCGAAGGCTCTCGGGGACCCCTGGGGAGCGTATCGGGGCGGATCCCAGGCATCGAGGGACGAGAAATAGCATGCACATAAATTGCTGGAGCTCCGCGCGGATCTCTTGGATCGACGCTGGGCCCCACGGCGGCGCCTCCGGCGCGCCCCCTGGCGCGCTCCGTGCGCCAGGGGGGGGGGGCGGTCCGGCGCAGATCCAAGAAATCCGCGCGGAGCGCCGAAAGTCTATGGTGATGCCCTCTTGGGAGCCTCTTGGGAGCCTCGTGGGACCCGTTGTTCCGTACCGCCATTGGCGTGAAAAACGCACACCAGGCGTAAATGTCAACGCTGGTGTACTAAGTACCCCTGCGCCCCCAGCTTCAATGTGGCAAAAACGGGGCTGCCTTGGCGGTAAAAATCTGGGCGTTTTTTTTTATGCCGATGCCAGCACCCCGACAGTGGCCGTGAACGCAACACTGAAATGGGGGGTCCGGGGGCTGGCACTTCGCAGTGTTCCATCCTTCATTCCTCGTCCCTCCTCCTTCCTCCCTCCCTCCCTCCCTCCCTCCCTCCCTCCTCCCTCCTCCCTCCTCCCTAGATGGGCGCT